TATTTAACTTTTGTATTTATTTATTTGTTGATTTCGGGGTGAAATTCGACCTAGACATACTTTCTTGAGGTTCTTCCACTCGCTGGCATATTTTGACGACAAAATAAAATGCATAATGACGCATAAGATGCATAATGGTCACAAACATGCACTCCAGTTACTTCAGTTCACATACCTGACTGATTAAATATAACTAATTAAAAAGAATACAGTGACTTGCTTGGGAAGTAAGACCTCATTAAATTGACTTAACAATATTTTGCTCACTTTTTAATCTTTTGTCTAACTTCTGTTATGAAATCGTTCCAAGTCTGCATTTATTCTGTTTAGGCCTTGTGTTGAATTGTAGTGTGAACACAACAGTGTGGTTTGCAGGTTGGCTTTTAGTTTCTGTAACAAGACGGCTTGTTAGCGGTAGAATGGAGGCTCACTTCTCTTTGAGCTGTCAAAAGTAAGTAGACTTTCCTTGATGGACTGGAGTTGGTAAAAATCAATCTGGCCATGGGCGATCACATTGCTGCACACATTGCTCCTGAGCCCTGGCGCAAGGCCGACTGACTGACGTCTCCCAGCTGTGCTGAACCGTATGAAAACAGGATATTCCCCCAGCCACTGCCCACCTGTCTACATGTCTTCTGAAACAGTCACTATCTATTATGAGTATGAAAGGGGATTTTTGTTCCCATAGCGTATAATTGTGATTCTGATGACTTGCATGATTATTTAAGGAGAACCTGTTCTTACATGAGTTGAAGGCCTTTAGTTACGGTGCACATTAATGGTGTTCAGATAAAACCATCTTGTATATCTAGTAAAGAGATGTTTTCAGTTATTTTAGGTGAACATTTTTTTTTTGTTAGAAACAAATAGAAACAAAATAATACAAAATGAAAAAGTAAAATGAGTGTAATATAAAATATAGTGTATCTATATGTATAGATATAACTATACATTTTTTAAATGAGAGTTTTTAATAGAAACAAAAACATAACTGGATGTATACAGAAGTTTTTTCTGTGCACAGGAATATTGCTGTGCCCCAGTAAAATATTACTGATAAATTTATGGCTGACAGTAAAGATTACCATATGGGTCAAAGACGAAAAAGGGTTTAAGCATAAAAACAATAAGTGTAATACTGCTTTAAATTGTTGTTGTTTTTCCCAAAAAAATGAAAACATTTTCTGTTTAATTTAATTGCAATTTTGTGTTTGTTTTTCTGAGCAAAAAATAAATATCATACATTTCCCTGATTTACAGAAGAAACCCACTAAAATGTCATTCAGTGTAACAATCCTGTCAGGAATATTTACAACAAATATCAATTTATGACATATTAAAAGACTAATTACGTTCACCCCAAATACTAATTAGTTGTAATTTTACATTTTTTAAATTTGCCACTATCCTAGGTTTTGCCCATTTGTCATTAAGAATTTTTTACTCATTTATAACACAATCAAATTTAATATGCTCCCTCATTATTTTATATATTTTAATATATACACATCAGAATAAGCACGTTGTTTGAGTTTTTACATAAATAGTGTTACACTGAATGACAATGTAACATTATTTCAACCAAATTATGACATTTTATTCTCCAAAAACTTATTTGAAACCTTAAAAGTAGACACTTTACTTATGTTTAATGTGCTTTCTATGGACATAAAATCACTTTTGTAAATTTCTTTTGATGCGGACATCTTAATGTCTTTGACCCATATACCAAACTATAAATTATTTTGATAATATTTAAGCAACCATGTTGTGCATTTGCTGTTTAGAGTCAGAACTAAGCCAGATTTGCGAATAAATAACACTTTTGATCTAATCTGACAAACAGATTTGCAAAAATGTCTGAATTTGTTTGCAGTTCAGTTTGATTCATTTAGACTGTTATTTCACACACTCCTCGTGATTTTTTCCCACACACTTCTTAATGAATTTTCACATCAAAATAGTAACAGGATACTTCAGAAGACAGAAAACAAAAGATATTTACCTAAATTTCATTGTAGAACGAAATCTGCAAATGTTTTTTTAAATCATTTTTAAACAATTAAGCAGCTCGACTCTGTACTGCAAAGCCAATATATATGAACTATGTTTGACACTGTATCTAAAAAAAGTATCGAAATACTGGGACATGTTTTTGGAGGCCTGTGCCTCAGTACTGATGAGAGGCTGGTTTACAGACGTTTTAGATACGGTATGCAGCAGCATGTCACACTGTATGACTCTGCTGTCATTGCTTGGCATGTCATATCAACTATACATTGTTTGGCATCTCACTTAGGTAATTGAGCAAATGTGACAGTCTGGAAAGTATTCCCAGTCCCGAGTTGTTAAGCAGATGGCAGTTCTGGATAACCCAGTGCATTAACACAGGTCTCCTGACAAATGCTGCTATTTCAGGTAGCGCTGATGAGAACGTCTGCATACAGGATTCTGGTACAGTATGTCCCACATAGCTTTTGGCACAGAGTGTATGAGGAAAAAGTGCAGCATGCTGCTTGGATTGGCAAATGAGAATATTGAAGCTGTCATGATGGCATAGATATGGTCATGTTGCACATTTAGCTGCCCCCAATTCTCATTACCGTAATGCAAAAATTATTTAAATTTCTGCTGGTTTGTCATTACATTTTTTTTAAATATTTATTTTGTTAGCAAACTTGAAGTTGATAAACTTAGAAGTTGTAAATTGATTTCTATGAAAGTTTTTTTTTGTCTTTTTAAAAAAAATGAGACCAGTTGAAATTATGATGATAAATAGCTGAAACTGTGCTTCCATCTCCCAGTATCAAATTCAGTGTGAGGTATACTAAACGTATGACTAAAGTCTGTTTGTCAGAGTCTTTGTTAGAGAAGTAGTAATTTCTTTCTTTTAACGTACAGTGGAGGTCATAAAAGGTTCAAAAATGGTTTCTGTTATCTCTAAATTGGCCCACAGCCTGTTGTTTGCTCACATATTTTCCTGCACTTTAAAGAATAGCATGCAATCTCTGATATACACTCATCCCAGCCATTAGTTATCTTGGTAACCCGCCTGCGAGCGCTGAAATTGTTGAAGCTGACTGTAGAGACAGACAGCAGAGGGCTGATTTTTCAGGTCTTGTTTGTGCAGTATCAGACGGCTCACAGGTGCTCACATCTATCTCTCTGTTTGAAGTGGATCACAGGGGCTTTGATCAGACACACGGTTTCACACATGCTTCAGCACACTGACTCCATGCAGATGTTTACCATGCACATGACCTCACAGGGCCAGGAATGCTCTTTGTAATCAGAGAGGGTCACTCGATACTGGCGACAAAGGAAAGCGGAGCGCAGAAAGTTTTATATTGCTCTTGGAATCTCTTTGAATGTCTTTGAGGTAATGGTGTGTTGTAGATTATGTAATGGATACTTAATCAGCGGGTCATTAGTGCAAAATATGACATGTCGGAATATAAAAATGCTGATACTTCAGCAGTCATTATGGAAAAATATTTCAGAAAAAAGGTGTTTTTGGTGCGAGATAATATTATTAATCCTATTTATCTTAAACCAGACTTCTTATACTACATTTTTTCTTTTTCTGCATGTATTTATAGCCTGTCATTAAAAAATTATACTTTTTACTTTTTTATTTAATTAAATCAATTCATTAATTTTATTTATTTATTTATTTATTTTGGATATATTCATAGCCTGTCATTAAAACATCTAGCATTGGTTCTCTACATTTTTGGTTAATCTACATTTTGCATTTTTAAAATTGAATTACATTAATGAATTCATTAATTTTATTGTTGTTATTTGTTTTTATTAAATTAATTAATTAATTACTTTTATTATTACATTATTTTTGATTAATTTGTCAATTTGTAAAATTGATTTGTTTTTTATTTAATTATTTTTTTAGGCACAATATCAGAGAGATTTTAAAACCAACTCTAAGAAGTTTTGCTACACCACAAACATGAAAACACCAATTTAGCATAAAATTTAAAGCTTTCAACAAAGTTCAAGACAGTTATTGTTGGACATTACAGGAATAACTTTGATGTTTCCATTATTATGTATAATCTGTAGTTTTAAATTATTTATTTAACTTGGAAGTAAATATTTGCCTCTTCTCTGCCTTGCATAACTAGTTCTATCAAATATATTTTTACATTTTATCTAATGTTCTTATTTCTTACCTTTTCTCCCTAATTTCCCTTCACCTTCGTCAAACAATTGATATGTTACTAACAGTTCATGTTTAAATTTGAGGGCTTTTTCTTGCCATTTCATTTCTTTAATAAAGACAGGCTACTGATATTATCTGGGGGCTCGTCCGGGATACTATTACTATAATATTGTTGAAATATTTGTGCTTTTATAGCATTTAGTTATTGTGTATCCCATCAAAGTGGTCACTGTGGTTCAGAGAACCCATATTATGAGAAATACATTAAACATGTTGGGTCACTTGAGGGCTGAGAGAGGAAGTCTTAATGTATATTATGGTATGGAGCTGCAGAGCCTTCACAGTGCACTGCAAATTTAATGAGCTCCATTTCCAATGACAAGGGGGCAATCACATGAGGAAACCGGAGGTAATTTGGGCAAAAAATGCTTGTTAAATGAAGTGGAGTGCCTACATGGCTGTACTAGCTGTACACACATTGGCTTTAGAGAGTCATTAGGTTAGTTTCTGGGACCGTTCCTCATTCCGGCTGTAATGAAACGCAGCATAAGGGTATTACCTGCTCCACCTGAGAAGCCTGGATTACTGTAGTATTGCTGATACTGCACAATGAAACTAGCCCAGGGCAAATCTGAATGCTTTATTTATAGAATATTGCTGGCCATTTTTAAAATTTCTGACTGCCTTTGTTGAGTTGCTAGCAAGAGGTTTCCAGAGCACCGTTGAAGCGTGCACTAAAACTGATGATTTGTCTTCACTCCTTTCGTGATTTCTACTGAGAGACTCTAACAACAAACCATGTTTGGTTGTTTTTGTTCAGAGATTCGAGCCCAACTGGTGGAACAGCAAAAATGTCTGGAGCAGCAGACGGACATGAGGGTCCAGCTCCTTCAGGACCTCCAGGACTTCTTCCGCAAGAAGTCCGAGATCGAGATGGAGTACTCGCGCAACCTGGAGAAGCTCGCCGAACGCTTTATGGCCAAGACCAGGAGTACCAAGGACCATCAGCAATATAAGTGAGTGTGTTAAATGAGTGTTTAATACTGTCAACTCTTTTGTGGTTTGAATTTAGAACTTCTTGTACTCTGGCCCAAATTTTTAACCACTAACCTACATCCTTATTATTATTGTCTGAAGTGTTATCATTGTAAAATTGAACATTTAGACTCCTCCTAAATTGCTATGTGTGAAACATGAATGATTTTCAAATGATGCTGTCTTTTTTTCAAAATATGAAAGCATGTTAATATATGTATGTGTGTATATATTCAGTAAACCCCTAACATTTTTGTATATATTTTATTATATCTTTTCATGTGACAACACTGAAGAAATGACACTTTGCTACAATGTAAAGTAGTGAGTGTACAGCTTGTATAACAGTGTAAATTTGCTGTCCCCTCAAAATAACTCAACACACAGCCATTAATGTCTAAACCGCTGGCCACAAAAGTGAGTACACCCATAAGTGAAAATGTCCAAATTGGGCCAAAAGTGTCAATATTTTGTGTGGCCACCATTATTTTCCAACACTGCCTTAATCCTCTTGGGCATGGAGTTCACCAGAGCTTCACAGGTTGCCACTGGAGTCCTCTTCCACTCCTCCATGACAACATCAGCTGGTGGATGTTAGAGACCTTGAGATGCTCAATAGGGTTTAGGTCTGGAGACATGCTTGGCCAATCCATCACCTTTACCCTCAGCTTCTTTAGCAAGGCAGTGGTCGTCATCATGTT